CTCGCTCAAAAATCGACTGAAAGCCCCCTCTTGGGATGTCTTACACCAGAAAGGTCAGTTTATTCATCCTTGACGGTTAGGTCTCAGTTGTTATCCTTTGTGCCTTTTCTGTTCTTCATCAAGTGGTTCCATATGATTTGCGAATGGTTCCAGTTTAGGTGCAACAGTGCCTAGAGAAATCAAGCGCTAAATATGTCGACTCGGCAAAATCAGACATTCTTGGTGCCTTAGCTGAATTCAAGGATCTTCTTCCGGATACAGAGAGTTACACATTCCCAGATGGTAAACGAAGAACGGCTTTCCGCTTACATGGCACTATTCCTGTGTTTTACAAGGTTGGTTTTTCTTACAACTCTTACATAGAACTTTAAGTTGCAAGTTGTGATGGTAGTGAGTAACGCTGCTGTCATTGTACGTGTCAATGTGCGAATGATAAATAGAGTGTAGAACACTTCAGCGCAAAAAAGTGTACAGTCCTTTCGAGATTCCGCTGGGAGATGGAATAAAAAACCATGTGAAGCCCAAGAGTACGTTCATACTTTGCGTCAGACGCAGCGTACGCTGACGCAAGATATCAACGACTTCTTATTTCACAGACGATCGATACCCAAAAGTTTGATACTTACTACTTATACTTCCCTAGTCGCTGGAAACGCTGCCTTCGGCGTATGCTCAGAAAGCTAGATCGAAGCCTGTACTTCCTTGTCGCCTCAAACGCTCACGCAAAGATGAACGCACTCTAGCAAAGATAAGTGTGATTTACCATCAGTTGGTAGCTTTCGTTCTAACAGAATCGCCGAAATTCGAAACTTTTCGCCCAGTATGGGGAGCTAGTCGGTAGCCTAACCATGAATATTGCATTCTTCATGCTTGTCACTGGCACCAGAAGTGTTGATATATGATGTCATTCCTGATCAGGGTGGTGAATAATCCTTACACGTAAGTTAATGACGAATTCGATGGGAACGTTCTAGTCTTGAAATTGCCATTTTGACAAAGGCCCTATGAATAAGTCCTGCGAAAGGATATTCAGTTCTTTTATATATACATTCTTGGGTTTAATGATGGAAATCGTGCCGTATCTCGCCATTATCATGAGCAGAGCACGTCGTACGTTGGGGATCTGAAAGAAGGGGGAGGGAGGGTTGTATCTGGTCGGTGAAGGATAAAAGGACGGTTGTATTCTGCTTATGAGAGAAATGTTTTTGGTTGTTGACTGTGCTTGGTCCATGAAGAAATGAAGAAATGCGGAATCTGCGGAAATGACGAAGATCAACCGATACGTATCGATTTTCCGCACTTTCTGCATTTCTGCAGATTCCGCACTTCTTCACATTCGGCATTTCTCCATTTCCTCGGATCGATACGTATCGGCCAATGCTTTTTCGCTCATTTCTTGCAGTTTCCGCATTCTGCAGTTTCCGCATTTCTGCATTTCTCCATGGTCGCAAGCTATGAACGCGGCCTTAGGCGCTGTACCACATACCCTTCCTGCTCGACGGTAATTTTTGAGGATAAACAGGCAAGAAGTAGGGCGAATCCAGTAATTTCAGAAGACGATAGGAAGGACGGTTAAGGGGGTCGTACCAACGCAACTTCCAAGGAGGTCGTTTTTTTTTGCAAGATTTCTCCCCCACCAACGGCAGGACGTGCCCTTTGATCACTGTCGATAACTTCGTGATTCAATGTTCTTATGTATTTCTGAGGCTGTGTTGTTATTTATTGTTTAGTTTAGTGTTTTCTGTAACCAAATTTCTTCATTTGATCAGTGATTTGAAAATTGATAGTTCGCTTCTCAGGTTCTATAGTGGTTGCTAAAGCAAGCGAGAACTCGAAGGTGGCCTCTCGCCTGTTCGCTCTTGATGACGTCGGGGCCTTAATACGTTTGCTTGCTCAGCTCGATTGAACGGCTATAAAGTATAGGTATCGATCTAACGTTTCGAGCGTATCCCAGCGTTTTGAGCGCTTCGCGGACAGTTTTGAGCTTTTGGTGGGCAGTAGCTGAAAACGCTGGCTGTGCTAGTCTACGCTTGATCGATGCCCATACTTTCTTAGTAACTCGAAACACTCAAAACGCTGTCGCAAAGTATGAACGCAGCCTGACACTGCCCCGAGAAACTATAAGTCTCCTTCACAAGAAGTTGTTTGCTTTTTCTTAAAGTAGTTCTTTTTTTGTCATAGTTTGGATGTATGCCACATTTATTCTTGCAGGGTGCTAGATATAATATTCCTATATCAGTGTATCTATGGGACACTCATCCATATTATGCACCGATTTGTTACGTATGTCCGACACCGACGATGGTCATACGTGAGTCAGAGCATGTAACGAAGCAAGGACGCGTATTTCTGCCATACCTGAATGAATGGCGGTTCCCGGGTTATGACTTGAACGGATTATTACAAGTAAGTGACTTTATGAGAATGCCTACCCAGAGACATTAGAGACGTTAATCATTCAGGTAATGGCGATGGTATTTCAAGAAAAATGTCCTGTTTTCGCAAAATCATCGACAGCATCAGCAAACAGCACGCCGACGCCGACATCTGCCACCTCACAACCTACCCCTTCGTATCCAACACCATATCCAACAGCAACTCCCTCGCTACCAACACCCTATCCGGCCATGCCACCATATTCAGGACAAACTCCGTATCCTACGACGGGCAATCAATTCGGAAGGTACAGTTTATCAATGCTCCATAATTGTTTAGATTTTTTATGCTACATGTATCATCTGGCCGTTGTATGCTGTCCTCGTTACGGTGTATGGTTTTGTTGTTGTTCTCAAGACCGGAATGGGTTTTCAAATACTTTTTCGTGAACTTCGCTTCGTCAACTTTACATTCTTGTTCGCTGCGAATGATGGGACGGTTGGGGGAGGGGAGGAGGAAGGCACGGGTTCGGCGCAGCATCAGCCCGTTTTTCTTTTTTTCCGGCAACCGTTAAGACAGTATCATATCGTTCGTATCCATCGTTTTTCCTCAGTTGTTGTCGCTTATCCGCTTCAAGAACTGGTGGACAACGGCGAGATGACAGCGCCAAACCCAGCTTAATTGTCATGCCCCATCATCTGCAGCGAGGAAGACTGTACGCTGTTCAATATCTGCCGAATTCAGAAGCAGAGGCTTCCCTGGGTTGATGAAATGAAGATTTCAACGCGGAGCGTGAGAGAGTCGGACTTCGAAGTCTATAAAAGAAGAGCGCCGAAACTGGCGTCGGTTCCCACAATTACGATACAGTTAACGAGAGGCTGTTATCGCCAGGTAATGCGAAAGCTCAACCGTACTATTTCACCTCACCTTCACCACTCCACACGTTTGAGTAACGTACGCCCATTTTTCATTTGATGGTGTAAGGGTAGGAGTTAATGGAGGCAGATATGTGTTGTCTTTCTCCTTTCGCTGAATAATATCAAAGGCCTCAGGGGAGCCGATTCAGTTTTCAAGGGGGAATCTAAGGAATTCGTGTTAGTATTTGTGTTGTACAGTAGAACCTCGAGCTAGACGGTCAACACAATCGTAATTTGCCTCTGCTCTGCTGCACGCGGCGATGAGCGCAACGTTTACATGATTTGCCTTAGGCTGTCGAATAAAGCAGCGAATTTCATGTGCACTATGACATCGTGGACATTCATGGTTATTTGTGGCTGTACATTGCCTATTGTTGGGATCTACTACTCCAAAATATAGTCATCGCGGCAGGAAGTCGCACGCGACGGCTGCCAGCGCGACGAATTAGGATTGTTTTGTCACATATGCAAACCTCACTTTCGAGCGTAAACATAATATGGTCCTCAGTTGGGTTGATTAGTTCGTAAATATCTGAAGAAGCTTCACTTTTTTTAAGCAGGTCAGTAACTTCTGGGTTCCGCGCCCGTCATAGTATCCACCACCAAATGGTGTAATTTCCCCTCTACTAGTGGAGATGAGAACCGTAAGCGCTAAGAAGGAGGAGTCCCAGAGTTTGTCATCCAAATCTATGGATGTTGCTTTATTTGATTTTTCTTTTTTCATTCTCTTTTGCACATGGAGTCCCTTAAAGACAGCCCCCGCGCTCGAGTAGTACATGGTCGTCCTTCCTTGTGCAAGTAGTACAGCCCCCAAGCTAGAGACTATCCCACTCTCGCGACTCCACAGTGAGCGAGGAGCGAGCTACAGCTCAAAGCTTATTTCTAGTTTCTCGCGCCGTGCGGTTGGACCGCCCACTTGCTAGCTGCCCTCCGCTCAGTTGTTCTTTGTTGGGACGGCGGGCATTAATCGGAACTGCATGTACTTTTTGCTGACCGCGCTCGTGCCCATAAATAATTCTGCTCTCCTTCATTACATTTTATTCATTGGGAGCACATACAGTCAACTGCAACCCATCTCGCAAGGTGAATTTTTGTTGTGCAAAAGCTCGACATGCACTAAAAGCTGCACATTGCACGTAACCTCAAATTCGGAGAAGTTTTTGAATTTTTCTTTTTTAATGTGTTTTTCGTGCGTGTTTTTGTTGTTTTTCGTATTCTTTTCTTTGCATTGGATGATATCCACTACTGGGAGATGTGATAAAGCGATTTGTGAGCCAGGGGTTGCACAGGGACCGCAGGGCGGTGTGACTGTCAGGGAGTGATTTTGTTTATGTTGTTCTTGAGGGCTGTTCTTGCTTTTTCTTTCTTGAGGAATTACTTATCAGCTACTGTTTCATAATTGAACAGCAACTATCCTTGACACTTTATCGCGGGAGCTGTCTTTAATGCCTGCACGGTTGTCAAAGGTTGTTAGAGACCCTGTAGGCACAGTTCGGTTTGGTGGGGGCATCAGATTGTATTCAACGTGGCTTAACTAACCACCTTGTGAAGATCTGTAACTGAAGTGTCTCAATTGTACCATTCTGCAGCTTCACAAGAGTATCAAGTTGCCTGGTAGTGAACATGTACTAGCAAGATGGAACTAGCGAAAGTGCAAAATGCAACCTCAAGCCTGTAAAATGCGCTAGCCATTATGTCCAGGAAGAGAAATGAAAAGCAGTTCCGCACCAAACTTTGCTTAATTGTTGTTTTTAGCACTCATTCATTTTATTACATGCTAGAATCCACTTTGGCTCAATAATACATTTGTATAAAGCACCTGTCGGAATTATTGGGCAGAAAAAGTTTTTTTCGAAGTGCTTGTCACTGACTTGTCAATCAATTGAGAGAGATTCAATTATTTCTTCTCATCTGTTTCAGTGCATATGTGAACACACCATATCCACAACCATCAATTCCGTCTCGACCAACTCCACCTGTTCCTCCGATTCCTACGTCATCAGCGGGCACTCTTCAGCCGGAGCATATTCGAGTATCAATATTAAGCGCACTCGAGGATAAGCTGAGAATGCGGCTCAGAGAGAAAATGGGTGTGTTTCTTTTTCTTCCATGTATTTTGAAGGTTTTGAGCGGTAAGGCCGCATTCATACATGACAACTTTGAAGAAATGATAGGAACTGCGGTAGAAGAAAGCATATGTATCGATTTGAAAAACCACAGAATTGGTAGAAGTGCAGTGCTGTAATGCTAAATTGACGGACTTGATAGGGATTGAACAATTACCAGGGAAGTCCGCCAACTTACCATGGAACTTTGAATGGAGACCTGGGTAGATCGATAGAGTCTATAAGGTTATTTACAAATATAGATAGCAAAACTGCAACCTGCATTTCACAAGCAACTTATGAGCAGGTAAAGTTTGTAATGGTGCAGTAGGGTGGAGGCTTGGTGGTGAGCTGTGAAGCATAAGCGAGGAATCGCATACGTCGAATCGAGTCGTCGAACGTCGAACCTTACCACTGAACCATTACGAAACTTTACCTGCTCATAAGTTGCTTGTGAAATGCAGGTTGCAGTTTTGCTATCTATATTTGTAAATAACCTTATAGACTCTATCGATCTACCCAGGTCCTGACCATTGGGACAAATGCCGATTGTGCTCAATTTCGGCATTTCTGCATTTCTCCTGATTCCGCGTTTTCTCAAATCGATACGTTTACTATCGTCTAACTGCAGTTTCGCCATTTCTTCGAATTCTCATGGATGAACAGGGCCTAATGATGCATGCTTTTGGCCAGGTTCATACTTTGCGAGCGAGATGATTTGGCGATCTCCCAAAGCGCCGTATCGCCTCATATCTGCGATCGCTAGCGACCAGCGCCGATCGATACCCACCCACTCGTTTGGCGTGCAATCGACGGAAAAGCCGATCCTTTAAATCGCTGGATTACCCGTGTGCCAGTTCGATTCCTTTACGTTCCTCATCGCACAGTCTTCAAATGCCTGAATATCCAAATTCAAGTCTTCTCAATCGCAGCGTATGATCGCAGCCTTTCTTTCTCTCGAGAGAGCGAGAAGTACGTGCCCATGAGTGCTCCACAATCTACTAAATTTCTCTAAAGAGCTCTAGCGTTGCGTCCATCCCCTCGTCGGCGTAGTTGAGCGTTTTGAGCGGAAAGGAAAGTCAAGATATCAATCTAATGTTTTGGGAGACGCCAGAGTTTTAAGCGTACCGTCCAAATTGCTAAATCGATACCTACACTTTCCTTTTCGTCCAAAGTGCTTGGAGCGCTCCAACGTCGAACGAAAAGTATGAACGCAGCCTTTTATAACGCCTAACATGGAAGTTTGGACATCGATCCGTTCTTGTAACAGTGTTTTTTTCAGGTACATCTCATGCAGAAATGGCATCAATTCGTGAAACTCAATCCGAACTGCAAGCTGGGCAACGAACCCTTCGGAATATGATAGAAGAACTGGAAAAACAACAGAAACTTTTAGAAGCGTTTATTTTCGCGCATCAGGTAGGGTGATCGCTTTCAAATTATCGAATTGGGGGCGGCATAGGTAAACAACACCTATTATGTTGAGCCGGTTTTTTTTATTGATCTTATGCTACCAGTTATCCTGTACTAGTAGTATGTAGGGTGTTAGATTATGATTTGATTCCATCGATTTATCGCCAATATTTGTTCTTGTATCAGGATAAAAAGAACGAATTGACGCGAACGTTAGCAGAATGTGGCGATGACAACGAGAATAAAACGGTTGATATTGACCAAGCTATCGATGCGGCTACACCATTACATAGGCAGATTCTCACAAACTACGCTCAGGACTTGGCATGTGATGACGTCATTTATGCACTTGGTAAGTAAAGTTTTACCTGAAATTTTACAGGCTTACGATTCAGCTCAATACTGCCCAAGTTTTCCTGGGATTTTGTCCGAGTTCGGGTTAGTTGGGTACCCTGGTCACGAAACTGCCAGTCTACTACGCTGGTAGGCCCTATGAATAACGAACATTTCACCCGGACCGGGTAGTACAAACCCACGTATTGTGCTTATGGCGTCATGATCACCAGTATGAGATTTATTTTGGAACTTTCGCCAGGTCAGTGCTGACGCCAGTCCCAGGCAGGACATGTCCTACGTTGGGGAAGCTCCAGC